TATTTTACTAGAACTTTTTTTGTTCCACTCATCAAAAATAACTAATATATTGGTCAGACATGCCTGACAATATAACTCTAAAATTAGAGCACTGCTTAATGTATTGATATCTGAATTATTAAGAAACTAGTTTAAAACTAATCTACACACACAGGGAAGTACACAGTAGCAAGACACTCTTACATTCCAGACATGAATCCTAACACAGTGTCCCCCCTCCCAAATTTTGTTAACTTCTACCTAAAGTTGGGCTATTCAACTATATGTGAAGAAATATATCACTGAACACACATTCCAATCTGGGATAAAATGGAATGTGTAAGAAAGAGAAAGTAGACAGCCACTACTCTCTCTTTCTTACACATTTCATTATCTTCAAGGGAAAAAAGCCTATATATGTATTCTGCATCTAAACTCTTTCCATTGTGCTTTTGCAATATACCTGCATACTACTTTAATATATGCACATATTTGTTACCTTGTTTTCCTTGTTTGTTCAAAGAGCACTCTTGGAAAACTTTGGTTTGTGCTGCATTCTGCATATTTATTATACAATAAGAACAATCATGGCTCAACCTACTAGATCAAAATGCACATTTTTGGATTTACCGTACTAAAGATGAACTTCGGGGTATTATTTTATGCCATAAAAGTTTTCTAAATATCAATGAGCAAATGGTGAATGTTTGCTTCTCAGAGTAGCATTTTCTTCCAATCTAAGATTAGAAGGGTCATCTCTCAATTTTGGTAAATAAATATTTTCCACTCAATATCCATAGAATGAATCTTTCATTCAGCTTAGGAAAACTCTTTCTTCAGACTCACTACTGTATCATTCTTGCAACCATTTTTCTTTTCCAACATTATCAGATGATATTTAAGTTGCTGCAATAAGAAAGATTAAACCTTGATACCATCTGAAAATCAAGATGTTAACTTTCAAGTAGTATTGGAAATTCATTTCCTTATCCTGAGAGTTCATTTGTGATGTGTATATGATAAATCTCAATAAATTCTCATATTTGTCTGAGGAAAAATATGTTGCACTGGATCCACCTAAAATAAATTTTGAGCATTGCCGTGTATGACAACCAGTTTGAAATACAGTTACCATTGATAGCATTAAAGGAAAAAAAATATTTTCTTAACATGTGAAGCCATATCAAGTAGATCCACCACCACTAAAATCAGTAAGATTTTGCAGAGTAAAATGCAAGCAAAATGACTTCATTATCTAGCCAACATCATCATGAAAAGCCTCTTAACGCTTCATAAATGATTTGGTCATCGTTTTATATTTAATCATTAGTGCATTAGAGCAACAAACTATGCTCTGCATGTGAAAGGGGCAACATTTTAGAAAATCAACATTTACTGTACTGCAGATAAACAAGGATAGAAAGCAAAAAAGCAATTATACCTGGCACAGACTACATCCTTTCTCTAGAAGAAAAGGCATTTTTAAAGAGTTGACTTCCCAAATAAAGTCATAACCCACTTTGGGGCCAAGAAAAATCTTTTTTTAAAAAAATATAGAGCATCCTAGAGCAATTGAACTGCATATGCAATGAAGATCAATATTTTATTGCTGCCATCTCACCACAGCAGTTATAGTTAATTGGATCTACATAACAGAGTGATTGTTTTTATGAACAAGGTCTTCTACTAGTAGTCATTCAAATTTCGTTTTAACTTTTGGTATAAAAGTTTCATATTTATGACGACGCTACTATACATCTAAGATAGAAAAGCTGATATTAAAGAAAATGGAGATAGAAAATACATTATTTTAAAACGTGAATGATGAACGCATCATCTTTCTTGATGAATGCATGAACTTAATATACAGGTAGTCCTTACTTACCAACTGAGTTCAGTGATTGTTTGAAATTGTTAACAGTGTAAAAAAAAGTGTATTGCAACGGCCACACATGCAATCTATCCTCGCATATCACAGTATCCTGCAGTCATGTGATCAACAATTAAGATTCATCATCACAGCATTCGATGGCTGCATAATCACCATTTACATGCTTCCCAACCAGCCTGCAACAAGCAGAGCTAATGGAGAACATGGAAGTAAAATCAGGAGTCACAGTCATGTGATGTTTTGCTTAATGACCATGGTGACTCTTTTAACAACTGAATGGGAAGTGATGTTGTAAATCCATAACAGTCACATGATTTTTCACTTAGCAACTGCTGCATTAGCAATAGCTGCCGGTCCCCATTGTGGTCACTAAGCAAGGACTACTTATATACTATAAGATATGCAGTATAAATGCAGGATTACTAGATATCCAAATCTTTCGTATATGTAGCCTATCTTCCTACAGGACAATGTATATAGAATCAGTTAATCTTTACCATTACTTCCTACATCAAGTTATGAGGTAGATTATATTAAGAGGCAGTTAATTAACCCAAGGCTACCCATGAGACGTAGCTGAGGGCTTCAGCTATGATGACCTTATCCCAGGCATAATATTGCAAACCTCTTCTTTATTTTAAAGGCATTAAATTTCAAAATAATAGATCAGGTAGAATTAAACTGGTGCCTTCTAAGTGCTTTTAATTTCAGTTCCCATGACTTCCTGCCAACATGGTCATAGTTTATTTTTTAAATTTTGACACTGCCCGTCTCAATTGGGTAAGTAGTTAAAATATTTGTGAATTGCAATAAAAAATCTGAAGAACACTTGGTTGCTAGCACATTCCTAGATCACATAGTTGTCTTGGCAGTTAAAGGGTGCGTCCTATTTTTGCATTATAATCCAGGAATATAAATTCCATAATATGCAAGACACTTTAATTTTCTTATGTATACAGCATGTAGAGTGTATCTATGAATTTAGGCCAGGGGTGTCAAACTCGCAACATCACGCGATGTGTCGCAACATATCATTTTTTTTCCATTGCTGGCAATAGGGTAGACACAGTTTCGCCATGACGCATCCGGCCTGCGGTCCAGCAGTTTGACACCCCTGGTCTAGGCTTACTGGTTATTATATTTAAGGACACAAGACATCCTAGATCATTAATCAGATCAAAAGCACTATGAGAAATTTGAAAAGTTAAGAATGTCTAGATATGAAAAGAAAGTGAACAAATTTATCGACTATACAATAGTGCATGTGTAGTGTTAACAGTCCCAAGTGAATAACCAATCATAAAAATATGAAATGGTCAAATCACTCTTTAAAAAGAAAATAAAACCTCTCTCTTACTTAATTAGGGGAACAAAGGATTTCAATGTTCTCTGCTAGGGAAGCCAGCACCAAGTTGAAAGACAATCACATGAAGTCCTTGCTTAACAACCTAGATGGTCCTCACTTAACAACAGCAACCAGGACGGTTGTAGAAACTGTGATAGTACTAGTAGAACTAGTAGAAACTGTGATAGCACTGAATGAGTCCTACTTATGACTGATCCTCGAAGTTCCAATCATTGCAGCATCCTGCAGTCACAAGATAACCATTTGTGATCTTCCCTGCCAGCTTCTCACAAGCAAAGTCAGTGGGAAAGCTGTCAGGAAATGTCACAAGTTGGTATGGCGAGTATCCCTCCTGCCTTCCTGTGCACTATGCCGCACTTTTTTTCCCTTCGTCTCCTTGCACTCACACTGATCCACATCCTCCTTCCCTTGGCCTCCCTGCGCTCATATCAATCCGCACCCTCCTTTCCATAACTGTGCTCTCCCTTGCACACCTTCGGGTTACAACAGCAACCTAAACTGCCTAGATTGCTAATCACTAAGCAATGTGATCACGTGGCATCACACTGTACAACATCACTTACCAATGGCAGTCCCAGTTGCTGTTGTAACCCAAGAACTATCTGTACTTTTCATCATGTTCCATTTTAAGTACTTAATCTCATCTATTTAAAAGATGTACAGAAAAGAGATCTTGACCTACTGGCATTCACTTGAAACAGACAAGCAAGGGGTTTACAAATCTCAATATGCAAATAATATCAAAAATATAATTCACAGAATTTACAAAATCACTGGCTCCACCCTGGAAAATGTCATTTTGCGTTTGCCTCCATACCTCTTTTTGCACATGGCTAGGATTGGTGAATCTAATAAAAAAAATAGAGGGAATCTCACAAGTCTGAAATACATACAAAACTGAAGTGGGTTACTCAAAAGTAACAATGAAGGTTGCATGTTCACAATACCAACACTACCATTATGAGTCAGACCCAGCAACTACAAAATGCATGGCAGGATAAGCCATTAATGCCTGCCTTTATTTGTGTGGCTGGGTTAGGTTAGGTTAGGTTAGGCTAGGTTGGGACAATTTATTAAGAAATGGACTAGAACCACATCAAGCAGCAGAGGGACTATGGCGCAACTTCACGAGAAAGTTGGGGCTTTCCAAACTGCAGGCCATTTTTACTATATTACTATATTATTATTTTATGCCACCTTTTTTAAATAAGATGGTGGACATACATAATGGTCCCTCCTCCCATTTTCCCAACAACAACCCTGTAAAGTGGGTTGGGCTGAGAAGAGAGAGTGACCGGCCCAAAGTCACCCAGCCAGCTTTTCTGTGTAAGGGAGGCCTACAATTCAGTCTCCCGGTCTCTAGGCCAGCATCTTCACCTCCACAACCAGGCTGACTAAGAGATCTAGGAACTGAGCTCCAACACTTCTGGGCTAGCAGCGTACAAGGCTCTTCCGCTAATAATACTGACAGGCTTCCATCCGGGATGCGGGGTCCAAAATGCAAAAAAACGAACAGGACGGCCTGGCCGCGCTCAAGACCTTTCCGGGCTCAGAAGGGAATTCCAGTTTCCCTGGGCAACCCCAGCCTCGCCGCCGCCCACTCCAGGCAACTCTCCAAAGGTCGGGCGCTTCTCCTCCTTCGGAGGACGCGAGGTGCAGCCCAGGTCAAACTCTTCGGCTGCAAAGCCCCGTGGGGAGGGGAGGGGGGAGGGAGGTTTGCCTGCACCCGTTCCGCTCCCGTTCCCGTCGTCGTTTCCCGCTCACCTGCTATCTGAGTCACGAAGGCTTCCGCCACCAGTGACATGCTTCCGACGACAGAAGACTCCCTTGCACTCCCGTCCCCAGGCCGAGTCGCAAGCGGCCGAAGGTGAACGGCACCGAGCGAGAGCACGGCGGCTGCGCCGACCAGCCTGCGGGGAAAGTGCATCCGGGGCCTGCTCCGCCCCTCTGAGAGAGAGAAGAGCGCGCCTGCTTGCAAAGCGATGGTTCCCGCCTGCTCGCTGCAACAGCCGCTGCGGGTCTCAGCCTGAAAGGGGCTGCGGTCCCGGTTCCCCCATTACTCGCACCCGGGTGTGTTAGATTCGCCGACGCTTCGTGGTGGTTGGGAGAAGTGCACTCTAATCCACCGAAGCGGGTCTGATGGGCTCGCTAGTCGCAAAATGCGTGGATTTGGTTTTGCCTTTTTTCCCCTGGCATTTTGGACAAAGGGCTAAAGGTGGGGAGTAAGGTCCGGGCCACTGTAATATCCCGAAATAAAAATTCTTGCGATGCTGATTGCCCCAACCCTCGGATCCATGCAGGCACCAGCATTTTATATTTTATATGAATTTTATATGAATGGGGGTGGATGTGCACATACAGAGCCTAGATGGCAGGCAGTCTTTAGGACCACGTTATAAGGTTGCCAGGTGTCCACTATTTGAGTGGACAGTCCACTTTTTTTCACATGTTCACTATTTTTTTTCACAAAATAGTGGACATTTTTTTTATTCAAAAGCTTTTATGATGAAATGGTACATAATCTAAAGCTGTACAGTCTACTTTTTTTACTACTTAACCCCCCCCCCCCCCGCTTGTCCGCTATTTTTTGGAAGCAGACCTGGCAACCCTAACCACGTATGAACTCAGTCCCTGTCAAATTATATCCCAGAAATATGAAATAAAATATATCAAATAGGTATGAAATAAAAAACATATTTATGGTTTTTTTTACAGGAATAAAAATAATTTGTAATTAGCCAGAGAATTACATAACAGAGGTACTTAGTTAGATTTGGTTTGTGGGAACAGTTTTTAATTTTTTATAGGGCTTCAGCAGGACATTTTATTTATCAAATTTCTACACTGCCCATTTCACCTAAATGACACTGGTCATATATTTGTATTGGTTTACAGATAAAAAACATGATAATGTAAACAACATAATTAAAAACAGTTAAAAGTAGAATTAAAACCAATTTGAAATTAAAGGCTAGAATTTAAAAGTTAAAAAGCTAAAGGGGCTGCGGGGTGAGTGCCCTCAAGCCACCAACTACCCACGTGGTTGCATTTCATTTGTAGACCCCCATGCCAATTGGTAGAGGCAGGTCTTGACATTTTTCCGAAAAGCCAGAAGGTTGGCAGCATGTTTAGAAAATGGAAGGAGCAGGGACACAGCCCCTGCAAAAGTTCTTAGGCCCAGAAGCCAAAGGTGGATACCATCCCCTCTCCCGGGAAGGCAAAGCAAAATGTGGAACAACTCCCATCACCACTGAAGGAAGCTGTGTCCTGTTTGATTTGCCCCTTATAATTTCCTTATGCTATATGTTCTAACTTGACCATTATTTGCAATGGAGAAAAAATAGCATTTGCAATATTTGGATCATTGGTAACGAATAAGGATTTGCTATTCATTGTGGTCTTCTTTCAAACCATGGTAGATACAGTGCTCAAGGAAGGCTAAGTGGTACCCATGGCACTGAGCAGTGGCTGCCTCCCTGGAGATCCCACCAGGCTACCCTTACCTGACTTTATATTTTTAAAGATGGGTCTAATTCATAACTTATCCGAAATAAAAAACTGGCATGCTGCAAAGCAAACTAATTAGCTCCAATCATGTTGATTTTCAAGAATGTATTTTGGCCCTCCATATGTTTTATGGGCATTCCTGCAAAAGACAAATAGTAAACAACTATAGCCAAATGGTCTTTTTTTGGGGGGGGGGGGAGTGTGTCCAACGACTCGGAAAAAAATAAACATAACCATAAAGCTGAGCTATGATAGGGAGCATCCGTGGAAGCTGAAAGAGCTGGTGCAATGGAACTGCATTAAATGCCACTTTCTGGTAAAGGAATGTTTTATGAATGGCCACACCTCTATTGGCCATTCACAAAATGGTTGTTGCAGCCATTTTGTGAATAATAAAGCTACTTCATGGTAGCCATTTTGTGTGTGATCACATTATGCTCTCAAAATTACAAATGTGCTCACCAGCCCAAAATATTGACCAACTTTGATATACCGGTATTTGGATTTCAAAGTTCAAAATATTTATGAAAATATGTAGTTTGGAATTATATGTTTATATTTTTACCTTATTATTAGGCAGCTGCAGTACTGGAGATAGGACTTTGAACAGCACTGACTAACAGTAAAGCTGACAGTATATATCTGAACAATTTCAATGTCTCCAGGCTTTCTGTTTTCTTACTTCATATTTCATTTTAATAGCAGAAGCAGAATTAAACTGTCAGCAATATTTGAGAAGCCAACAGTGTTTATGTTACTAACAGGTTTACATCCGTCATGACTTACGTAGTAAATGTCATCACCATCAAACATATGCCTTGTCTCCATTTGCTGGATAGTTATGTGGCTAATCCTCAAACCAACAATCCATCATAATGAACAAAATTATGATAAATATCCCCATCAGTTATAATACTGCAATATTGGTCAGTGCTTTTCATTACTGCGTTGTCTAGATCTAATTTCAGTGCAGCTCTTTCTTACTGTATTTCCACAGTGAGCTACTCATTATCTCTGGCCTAATCTTGCAATTCTCAATGAAGCAGGGAGGGGAGAGCAGTCTAATGAAAGGTTTTATGTGGTTTTCACTTCAGGTTGTGTGGACCATGAAGAATGGTTTTTGACCTTGAAGAGAATAGCTGTTTATTTTATAAAATAAAAGTTTTTCTCCTTTCATTACTGCTTTCTGGAATGTTTTTTTAACAAGAATTGAAATACTTTATTACACTTGTCCTCAGCCTTTTATCTGTTGGCTTTGTTATGCACTGAGAGTTCCATCATGCACTAATAAATTTGACAAAATATTCATACAACAGAAGCTGTACATGCAAAATACCTGAAAGTTCTCTCATCATCCAGAAACAAATGTAGCACCGGATTTTGTTGCTGAAGCCAACTGCTAAAATTTATCCAAGCAAATATTTTTGGTCTTGTGTAAAAGTTGTGGTTGCAAAATATAGTTGTCCCAAAATGAACTTTTGTCCAGAATGAGAATAATTTTTAAATTTCCCCATCACAAAATGTCATTTTTGGAAGTCATTTTAGAAAGGGGGAAATAAATAACTTATGAGTGATTGTTGGCCATCCATGTGTTAGAAAACATAAATTGAACCAGCTAAGTATTCAGTTGTGGTACAAGCATGCCATACTAGGCCTAATGCATAATCTCTCTCATGAAGGCTTAGTTTGACAAGAAAATTAGTATGTGTACTCTAAACTTTATTTTTCTTCTTCAGTGTTTCTAGATATTAACTGTACCCAGACACACTTCCTATACATCAGTGGTTCTCAACCTGTGGGTCGGGACCCCATTTGGGGTCGATCGATCATTTCATGGAGGTCGCCAAGCAAGGCTGTCCGCCATTTTTTTCCCCTTTTCCAGCAGGTGCCTTACCTCCCTTGGGCTGGGCCAGCTGGTGGTCGGCCTGGTCCGTCTCTGCCGCTTGCCAGCTACACCTCGGCCGGCGCAGGGGGCGGAACCACGCATGCGCGGCGCTCCCAGGCAGGGAAAGTCCTCGACTTACGACCGGTTGGGTAGTCCTCGACTTACGACCGGTTTAGTCCTCGACTTACGACCGGTTTAGTCCTCAACTTACGACTGGTTTAGTCCTCGACTTACGACCGGTTGGGGTCGCGGCATTAAAAAGGTTGAGAACCATCTAAGGTTGCTGATCACATTCCAGTATATTCTCAGTTGCTATCGCTACCCATAATCTTTTTGATATTAAAAAATAAATTGGGTGCACTGACTGTGATGAAGTTTCCAAACTACAGTAGTGTATTCTCTTGGCTAAGTACTGTATTACAAAGGGAGACTATGGGTTTCTTATACTGCATGTACCAGTGGATAAATGGACCTTAGTTTGGGTTCCAAGTGATCATTAAAAATATCCTGGCTATATTGATACCTTCTAGAAAAAGGGGCAAATCTCATCCACCTGTATTTTGCCAGGATTTTTTTTTATAAGCTATGGGTGATCAGACATCCTTTAAAGCAGCCCTGAAGTTAACTGTTTCTATTCCCACTTCAGAGCCCTCCCCCCACCCCGCAGGCTCTGTTATTCACAATCTTTTCTGTAGATAACACTACATCCAGTACAATTTCTGCCTATTTTCTATTTGTATAGTCTATAGCCTGAAGGCCCATCTTTATTTCCCAACTAATTCTCAAGATTTCAGGCACATGAACTAAATGTTTGCCCTCTGAGATCAGACACAAAAAGAAAGGACATTTCTTCAGTTGATAATATCTTGTGACTGATTTTCTGCAATAATGGGCAAAGACATAAAAAATAATTTGCATTTTCCACGTGACAGAAACCTTGTATCAGGATTGTCAATGTCTTTTCTGCCCAATGCTCTTGTCATTTAAATCTTTGATAAGAATCAGTTGGGAATGGAGCTATATAGCTGCAACAGCTTCTTGCAAATTGTAGATAGAGTTGATATTACAGATGCCTAATTAAGTTGACATGTCACCTTATTTCAGTCCAGGCATTTTTGGCAATGCTGACTTACTTTATATCAGGGATTAGTTACATATGGCAAACAGAATTATTATACCCTAATGTATTTTCAATTCTATAAAGTTAATGGATACATTACTAGTAAACATACCAGTAGTAGTACACGAGAAACTGAAACAAGCTAGATAGAAATGTCTGATAAACTAGTGCAGGTTATATAAATTAGGGCTGATTCTCCATGTTGCCCATAAAGATGAGACTGAGGAAGTGGAAGAAGCTAGTGACTTAATGAGTCGTATGATTGTTGGGATTGGGCCCAGTATAGTAGACAGAAGCATCTTTACTGTTTTGCTTTAGATTTGATATGATAAGATGAGGATAAAACACCCAGAAAACTTGCAACCTATTCTAAATCTGTT